GTTGTACACTGAGCTCTTGCTTCATACTTCCAGAAAAAACATGGACAAAAATTCAAATACATTTTTCAATGAAATTTAAAAAATCGCCAAGTATGCTACAGTAAATATTAAAATTTTAGAAACTTCAGGAGTTATATTTAAAAAGATGGCAGTAACCGGTTTTTTTATGGCAATAATATTAAACACCCAATTCAAATTGTCAGTGGTACAGTTGCACTAAGAAAAAAATTCCTGAAACAATTGTTTATAAAAAACCTAATAATTTTGTTTGATTTAAAATTGACTTAAAATACAATAAATATTTTCATTGGTTATGAAAATAGTGATTCACTATAAAATAAATATTATGTATATATCAGCTATGAAAATGACTAATTTCTTGATTTTTCATAGCTGCCAATATTTATACCAATATATTAACCAGTTAGTTAGACTCTGTAGTCAAGGGAACAAGACCCTATTTCAGTTCAAAATCAATCTGATTGCATCGCTCATGAATAATTTTAGTGTCAGAGACCCAAGAAACTTATAATGGATCAGGAAAATCAACTCAAATATATAACGAAGAAAAATATGATTGGAAATAATATTTTCATTGGTTATGAAAATAGTGATACACTATAAAATAAACATTATGTATATATCGGCTATGAAAATGACTGATTTCTTGATTTTTCATAGCTGCCAATATTTATACCAATATATTAACCAGTTAGTTAGACTCTGTGGTCAAGACCCTATTTCAGTTCAAAATCAATCTGATTTCATCGCTCATGAATAATTTTAGTGTCGGAGACCCAAGAACCTTATAATGGATCAGGAAAATCAACTCAAATATATAACGAAGAAAGATATGATTGGAAATCAATTCACGGCTAATACATTTTTTATCTCTGTATAAAATTTACTCAGTTAATGATAATGAGTTTGAAGACAAAGACAAATATTGCTATCTTGACCAAAAGTCATCAACTGTGAATGGCTTTTTAAAGAATAAGCTCTTATAGATTTTGCAGAATATATGAAAGAAGGTAAGAAAATGTTATCAAATTATACTTATAAAAAATATTTATATTTATATATGTTTAATATTAATATAATATTTTCTATCCATGCCTGTGAATTTTGTTTTATATTAGAATATAAATAAATCTTTGGTTTAGATTGAATGCAACAAAAGAGTATATAGGTTTTTTTTTTTTTTTGTGTGTTACTGTTATCATCAAACAACTTAGTTTATAGTTATGTTTTCTTTTGAATTTGGCTTTATTTTTAAATGTAAAATGTTTAAATTAATTTCAATTTCACTTAATGGTGGGATGTGGAATAGTACATTTAGTACATGAGTAGTGCAATTATATTTTCACTCCTACACTGCTTCGGTGTGTGATTTTCCTAAATGGTAAAAATGAAAATTCATCTATGAACACATAAAGCATTGTAGTAGTATTTCTGTTGGGAGATTATGATGTAGTCAATTTGAGATAATTTTCTTTTCAATTTTTCCATAGGATTTCAAATACATTCTTGGGGTTACTTATTCAATGAACTGTAAGGCCAAAATTATCCTTCCATAAGTCATTTAATATTATGATCAGCATATTCTAGGTTTAATGTTGTTAATTCTTGTAGGAAAAGTCAGCTTGTTAATTTTATTTCATTAATTTATTATTATTTTTGTTAATATGTTTTTTTTTATTTTTTTGCAGTAAGAAAACTTAACACAAAACCTAGAAATTTGCACGAGTTTGATATATATAGACATACACAAATAAAATTAAGTTACAGTTAAGTTATTAACTTGATTATAAAGTAAGATTTTTTTTTTTTTATTTGTTTCTTGTAGGAATAAAAAGAAGTTTTCTTTTGTGGTTATTTTTATTAGTATTATTAGATAACATTTATTACCTTTCATATATTCTTCATGATCAATAAGAGCTTATTCTTTAAAAAGCCATTTAAAGTTGATGGTATTTGGTCAAGATAATAATATTCCTCTTTGTCTTCAAATTCATCTTTAGTTGAGTAAATTTTATATTAAAATAAAACATGTATTAGCCAATACATTTTTTATGCCATGTATATGATGTAAATGATTTCCAATCATGTTTTTCTTCATTATATATTTGATTTGATTATCTGTGTTGTCCATTGTTTCTTTGATCTATTACACTAAAATTATTCATGATCTATGAAACCAGATTGATTTTGATATTGATTTTGATCTTGATCTGAGATACAGTCTTGTTCCCTTGATCACACCATCTAAATAAATGTTTAATATATTGGTATAAACTTATAAGCAGTATATTTTTATTGCTTATTGGCAGCTATGAAAAATCAAGAAAATAGTAATTTTCATATCCAATATATACATAATGTTAATTTTATAGTGTATCACTATTTTCATAACCAATGATAATATTTATTGTATTTTAAGTCAATTTTAAATCACACAGAATTATCAGTTTTTTTATAAATAATTGTTTTAGGAATTTTTTTTCTTAGTGCAACTGTACCACTGTTACTGCCATCTTTGTAAATATAATTCCTGAAGTTTATAAAGTTTTACTATTTACTGTAGCATACTTATCGGTTTTTTTTTTTAAAATTGAGCTGGGAGTTCAATACTGGATTTTGTTATTTTTGTTTTATAGTCTCGAGTCCTATATAATTCCACATGATCTAGAAAAAATTTGTTGTAAATTTTATCCATCTTTTAATTGTCACAGAAAATTGGCAACAAAGTTATCACTTGGTTGTGTTGAAGATACAGGTGATATGTAAATAGGATTTTTTGAAATAATTAAAAAATTAGAATTCATTAAACTTGTTCTTGTTTATGAATTTTGCATAGACTTTCTACGAACTTTCTTTTATTTTTAATATTTGAGGTCACAAATTAGTACTTCCATAGTTTTTTAAATTGAGCTGGATGTTCATAATTGAATATATTTTCATTGTTTAAAAATATTGATATTGCTATTAAAATAGTAAACAGCATTTTCTCTGTCTTTTGTTCATTGTGTCCACAAGCTACCATATCCCAAAACCAGTAGTTATGTGTTTCGGAGAAATATACAATTAACGGTTTTGGTGTATGACATATGGAATGTTCATGGTTACACTGAATAACAGTCAAGGAAATGTTCCCCATTACATTTTTAAACATTTTTCAAATATATTACAATAGAGCAATGTCTCCATTGTTTTTCAACTTAATTTTTTTAATCCATTCATTTTTTATTGATAAATTTGTTGTTTTTGTAATGTCTTATTCATTAAAATATCTTAAAATAGTTTTATTTTATCCATCATTTACTTCTGTAATCCAATTTGGTGTATATTCACCCATTCACTGAATGCATGATTATGTTAAGATAATTTAACTTTAAATACATTTTTTCTATTTTTATTTGTTTGTTCAACATAAATAATAACGAATGTTTAGTAATAAGTTATTTTAATAGTTGTAATAAGTTATTAGTTTTGTAATTGAATTAAAGCAATTAAAATTTACAATTCTATGTACCTATTGATGTTAAATGTTTGTACATTCTATTTTTTATTGTTCTTATAACATGTTCAACTATGCTTTATACTACTGTATTTACTGTCATGTTTAATACTATAACTATCTTGACTGTACCTATATTTAAAATGCATTATTAGATAATCAATAAATTATTATTATATATATATAATATTTAAAATTAATAAAATGGTATTAATTATTACTTGAGTATAATGAAACTAACAACATCGCAATATGGTCTCTGGAAATACAACTTGTGCTTTCATCAAGGCACGTTTATAATCCATTATGATATTCAAATGGTTATAGGTTAATGGAAGCATGTTGCATACCACTCTGAAAAACTCTACAAATGTTTCTTCAGTTAAACCTAATGGAACCCAGAACAAAAAGCAAGTGGAAAAAAAAGCAATAAATATACATTTAAATATTATAATATAAAAAGTAATATTATTGGTAGGAACTACATAATATTAGTACCATATAATAGGTACTTACACTATATTTCAATACCATCTACTATATTATATATTCAATAATAATGTTTTAAACGTTTTCACAAAAATAATTATCAGAGCAAGTTATTGAAATCTTCAGTCCATAATCGAAAGTATCAAAAATGACTACTACTGTAGTGTATATATAAAATATATAAAAACAAACTTAAAATAAACATAGCTATAGCATAATATTGTTGAAAAAATAAATTATCTAAATATTTTTGTCTCAAAATAAGAACAGTTCGAAAAAAGAAATTTGGATTTATAGGAGTATGATTTACAATTTGTAATAATTTGTCTTTAAAAATCAATAGGTAAATTATATTAATATTGGTATATTATAAAATAAGTCATTTGAAATAATAGTACATTACATCATGCATATATACAATAATAACATATTTGTATTAAGTTCAAAAAAATGATATATACACATGGATATTATATATGTAGGTACCTATAAAAAAATATATTTATTTAAAATTTATATGATATGCTGCAGTGTTTAAGATATTTACATTAGATTTTGATAACTTTTTCCAATAATTATTTTCGTGAAAATGATTAAAATATTATCATTGAATATATTATAATAATAAAGTATTAAAATATTATCTAGGTTCAAAAAAATGATATATACACATGGATATTATATATGTAGGTTGCTATAAAAAAATGTATTTATTTAAAATGTATATGATATGCTACAGTGTTTAAGATATTTACATTAAATTTTGATAACTTGTTCCAATAATTATTTTTGTGAAAATGATTAAAATATTATCATTGAATATATTATAATAATAAAGTATTAAAATATTATCTAGGTACTATAATACCATATTGATGGTGTAATATATAATATGTGGTACTAACCAATAATATTACTTTTTATATTTAAAATAAATTGCTTTTTTTACCACTTGTATTTTTCCTAAACTCACACTTAACAATAAGGTGTACAATAAGTACTAGGATTGGCCCTGATGACTAGTCCACTATTATGAAGCCCTCACTTAATTCTATTTTTTAGTTTGTTAAATTTTTGTTTTATATATCCAAGAATATCCAAGTTCAATAAGAATTCTAAAGAAGTCTTGTTCATTGTAAAAGACGTTTTAAAAGTAATGAGAGTTTTGTATGTACCAGATGGAATTTGAATTAAAAAATTATACCGTTTCTAAACACATTGACCTGGACTGTAAAATGTTTTTTGAGGACCGTTTATAGAGATTGCTGATGGAACTTTTTAGAGCTACTACTACACTGTTTTTAACTATAAATATCAAAACGAAATATTGTTAACAATCATACTAACAACAAAATAAATTAATCAGTAACCTACTCCAAATAGTTGGAATGGAAGCAACTGGATACCAAATCTAAATTTTTTTTTTTTAATTAACCTATGAAATTTTTTATACATAATGTAAAATGTCATGAATGTACCCTGTCAAAAATGTCTAGACATACTTGACACATTTTTCAAAGTGTCATCACATTCTGCTATTGTTACACTGTGTAACTTCCATAAAACCTTGAATAAAATTTGAATTTCCAAAAATAATTCCCACTACATTAATGTCTACAATAATAGCTAATAGGTTTTTGTAAAAATTGAGATTGTTCTTCTTGGATGTTTTTCCAATAAATACCATTCTCTTCTAAATTAAGCAATTCCACAAGCTCTTTGATAGTCTTTGATATTGGTGGTCTCCACAGTTTTTTCATACACTTACACCTCATTTGACCTGCTGAAAAGTGTAGTTGAAGCTTCCATAACGATGATTGAAAAAATATTGTAATAGGTAAAATACAGGTGTTTCACACATTCACTTGATTTGTTATTTATTTAGTATGCTACAATTTTCCTTACCGTAGGATTTCCTCATTGTAAAGCTGTCTTGTCTCTTTAAAAGTGGCAATTCCAAATTTTGTTCAACTGGGTGGGAATTATGTCATTATTTAGTTCAATATGGTTGTTTATAACATTTATTTTTATTTAAACCCTTATCTGGACAATACTTGTTAACCTTCCTTGCTTTTCACAAACCAAGTACCTAAAATTATTTATCGATTAGTCATTTACATACAGTCACATAAACTCTTCTACAGAGCTCTATTATCAAAATTTCGAAATTTCGAAATCAAAATTGTATACACATATATTATAGAGGTCTCTGAATTCAAAAAAAAGTTTTAACAGGTAGACTGCCATGACCATTTATTCATACATGCTAAAATGTTTATGTTACACATACATATATGGATCACACTAGATTTGCAGTTTTTTTTCGTGACTTTTTAGATTTGCAGTTTTTTTTCGTGACTTTTTTTTATTACACATACATATATGGATCACACTAGATTTGCAGTTTTTTTTCGTGACTTTTTTTTACATTTCGTGACTTTTTTTTANTGCTTCAGTCATGGTGCAAAGTTCACTTATTTTTAAATTTGAATTGCTGCAAATATCATACAATTGATAAATATCGATGATATGGTTATATTAGCGTATTAATGATATGGGTAATTTCCGTTAGTACGAAATATTTGGTACATTGTTTATTGGTTAACTGTAAATACCGAATTCCGATAAAAAAATTTCAAAAACCACAAACCTTAGTTTACAGCCTTTTGTTTTACTTTAAAAAGTATACATGACAACAATTAATTTTAAAAGTTTAAAAATTAAACATTGTTTGAATGTTATCTTCTAACTGCTGAGAGAAATTCATCTTGTAATTTAGTTTTTTTTGGTAAGTCGTTCATTCTTACAGACAAATATTTAAAAAAACGTATCATTTTTATCCAATTTTCCTATATTTTGTTAAACTGAGAGAACTGGTGGCGTTGGTCTACTCTTAAAAGTTCATGAGTAACACTTAGCATTTAGTAACATAGCATTTAAATTGAAATTATTTCTATGAGATTCTCTAAAATGACACTCTTATTAAAAAAAAAAAAACATAGAAACATGTAAAGGTTTTATTTTATGAGTACATATAAACCGAATATAGATTTATTGTAGATTGTGCATAATAAATTTCATATAAATAGTTAGGATGAAATTTATTAATTTTTATCTATTAACTTAAGCACTCCTTACTTTGGAAAGTATATACTTTTATTTAGATTCTGAGTGGAGCAAGGATCATACTCGTTTTAAAATGATGTTTATCTTTTCTTTGTTTAATTTTTTTATGTGAACAACTTTTCTACCAGAAAGCATACTCCGATTATCAAGTATAGCACCTTTTATGAAAGGAAATGTTTTCTGAATGGTACTTTAATGAGGTCATTTTTTGAAATTTTCATTAATATTTGAGATAAGGAGANTATTAATTTTTATCTATTAACTTAAGCACTCCTTACTTTGGAAAGTATATACTTTTATTTAGATTCTGAGTGGAGCAAGGATCATACTGGTTTTAAAATGATGTTTAATTTTTTTATGTGAACACCTTTTCTACCAGAAAGCATACTCTGATTATCAAGTATAGCATCTTTTATGAAAGGAAATGTTTTCTGAATGGTACTTTAAAGAGGTCATTTTTTGAAATTTTCATTAATATTTGAGATAAGGAGAAAAACCTCAGTCTTTCGGATAAANAAATGATGTTTATCTTTTCTTTGTTTAATTTTTTTATGTGAACAACTTTTCTACCAGAAAGCATACTCCGATTATCAAGTATAGCACCTTTTATGAAAGGAAATGTTTTCTGAATGGTACTTTAATGAGGTCATTTTTTGAAATTTTCATTAATATTTGAGATAAGGAGAAAAACCTCAGTCTTTCGGATAAAAATGATTGAAAGATTAAAATTAAGGTTGCCATTGGCAATCGTTTTTATTTATTTTTTGTTATTATTAAGTTTTTATTATTTTAATATTTTTAAAACAATCATTGTTGTAGTCATTTTATCATAATATGACATATACCATATATTGTATTGTTGACAAAGCAACACTATCTACTGAACTCCGCTCAGAATCGTTGTTTCGTTAGAAATTGTCTATCGTTAATTACAGATATACATTAAATTTCCGTCTTTATCCTACTTTCCTAACTTCCAACCTACACCAGTGGCTACATTCACATGCGAAGTATGACGTCCTTTTTTTAGATTTTCTTTCAATAAGTTTATCGCTTATAAAATAATACTTATTTGTTTAATTTAAGAAAATGTATTTTTACATTTAATTTGTAAAACATGGGCGTTAAATGCATATCAGTAGGTGTTTAAATTAAAAGTTCCACAAAAAAAAAAAACTAAAACTAAAACAAAAACCACACACCTGATGTTAGTGAAATGGTACCAAATTCTTGTCACTGGCTTTCATGGTTCACTTTGTTAAACATTGTGTTACTTCATATATGTAAATAAACTTTTTCAACAGTGAATTTGTTTTTTGATAGCTCATAGCTCACTATGACAATATATGTAAGTATTTTTATTTTATGATTAATTATGTTAAATTTTGTCATATTTACTGATGGGCAAAGAACATTTTCGTTTTATGTCAACTGAACCAGAACATATTCAATTTTCAAGAAATTAACTTGAGTATGAAAAAGAGTTACTATTTTTTATGAACGTAAACGTTTTTAAATCATTCATGCTGGTTGAAAAGTTTAATTTAATAGACCATAGTTATGTTAATTATTCATATTTTATTTAAGTACTAGATATGCCGCGCCCGGTGGTGCCCGTGCCAGTTTAAAACAAAAANAGACGTCCTACGATAATGTAGACAGGTGCAGCCACTGTTATAGGTAATTTAATGTACATCTGTAAGCAACGATAAACCATTGCTAACGAAAAAATTATTCTGAGCGCATTTCAGCTGATAGTGATGTTTTGTCAACAATAAATATGTCATATTATAGTAAATAATTAAATAGGCATTATAAATTTTCTTTAATAGTTTTGTTTAATATTGTATCGTTTTTCCCGGTTTTCCCATGTTAAATGTACGTTCGGATTATCACATTTGCTTAGAAAACTCTTGGAAAAATCGAAAAATAACCTCCTTTAAGTACCTTCCTAGTCAGATTGACTTTTGGAAAAAGTGCTATCATTGTAAATCGGATCAAAATTGTTGGTAGAAAAGTTGTACACAGGGAAAAAAAACCATAATATTATTTTACTAACACCTACATTTTCCGTTTTATCGACATTTTATCTCGGTTTTTTTCAGTTATTATGAAAA